TTCTCACCGCTATGGCCCCCTCAGCCCCCAGCTGTGCCCGCTCCGTGCCCCATGGGGAGGCCTCGGGGCGAGGTTATCCTAGAATGAACGATGTTGGCGTCCCCTCCAGTGAGGGGGCCTGGACAGCATCCCTGGGGGTGCCCCAAAAAAAAGGGGGGAGCCTGGGAGGGCAACCACGGGGGAGGTCGTGCAGGTGGCAACGAGACGGGGCAGGCCTCGGCCAGGGGAGGGTGGCAGCATTTGGGTTTAGCATCATCTCCTGTCGCCATTTGCAGCTCCTCTATGATGAGCGGCGAGGCTCCCCCGGGCCTGGAAGGCAGGGTCCGGAAAACGCTGCGAAAGGTTTTCGGGTTTGAGTCCTTCAAGACTTCCCTGCAGGAAAGCGCTACCATGACTGTGGCGAGAGGTGAGGCTCAGCATCGGAAAGATGTGAAACATGTCTGGTTTTCCATCTTCTGTGGGGGTGATACTGCAGGAATTTGTATCGCTCCTGTTTTGAGGAGACACATCACCTGGAGTAGGCGGGACTGCCCATCCCTCCAAGCCCTCCTCTGCTTTGAGATCATTTCAGTGGCATAGGAGCAGGAGCGTGTGCTGCACACAAGCTCTCTGAGCACGGCTGTGCCCTCTCTGTTGTCCTTTGCATTTGTTTTGTAACCCCGGCGTTGCATCAACCAGAAAATAGAAAACCTTAAAGTACAGTCTTGCTGGTATGTCTGCTGGAGGCATCTGCCAGCATGTTTATAGTCAGATGAGGTCAAAACTGTTTACACTTTAACACATTTTCAGACTAGACCTATCCTAGCTGTAGACAATGTTAGACAGAGACGATACCAGTAGAAGTCTTGATTTCCTGGCATAGTTTATATCTGTTCTCTGAATTGTGTGGCCATTATCAGAAACATGATTTTGCTGGTGTTAACGTATCCACCAACGGCTGTTGGTTGGACAGGCAGCTCACGCGTACAGACTGCTGTCTGCTCCCCTGCCAGGTCTCACAATGTGAATCATAACAGTATCAAACTCAGCATGCAGGACAGAGTTACAGTTTTCATCTATCGCCAGCAGCTGTACAGACGTGCCATTGACAACAGTCCAGCCAAAGGCAGTGTTCCATCAGCAGGGTGTCTCTGCCTATTAACGTTGCATGCAGTGGCATCTCCCTGACTTGAAGTGGATGCTGCTTAGCGCAGTGACAGCTACTAACTGCACGATATTATCTATGTGGTTGAGATTTCTAACCCTTATTTCTTATGAGGTACCTTTCTGGGATAAGCTTTAAGAGGATGTGGTAAAGATCTGTCATGGGGCTGGTAATTGGTAACTGGAAGTCTGTGAGATGAAAGCAAGCAGCTCATCTGGAAGAGAATTAGCATGAATAACTTGTTTAACTTCTCTTTATCTTGGTTTCTGTGTATCTTGTAGTACTCATGTAAGGCTGTTTCTAAAGGTTTACAAAGCAATCAGAGATACTTTGAAGGAAACCATTGCAGGGACACAAAGTACTTCTATGCTTTTAGAACCTAAAATGAAGTGTCTTTTGTTGGTATCCCACATGGTACATGCACACATCTGCTGTTTCTCACAGATTACAAGCCATTGTGCCCACTCCGCCAGACAGAGCCCTGGGAACTCGCCACGACTCAGTAGCCTTGAGCTTTCTTCTGTTGTCTTTGCAGGCGAGAAGGATGTCTTTGTATGCATGCCCACAGGGGCAGGGAAATCCTTGTGCTACCAGCTTCCTGCAGTTCTGGCAGTGGGCATCACCATTGTCATTTCACCTCTGATTGCACTGATTCAGGTAACTGTCTCTTCTTAGCTGTCAGTGAAGCGGGTCGGGAGACACTGGAGGCACAGCTGTCTCTTGTCTTTCTGTCCGCGAGTCTCTGCTGTTGGCCCACCTCTGGATTCTCTTCTTGATTTGTCTCGGTGTGTGTTCCTTAGCCTGGTGATGGGTGAAGAGACTGCAACTTAGCTGCAGAGCAGAGTAACTCTGGTATGATACTTTGCAGTTCTCTAAAAGGAGGGTTTTCTTCTTTAATAATAGCCTAGTGGTTTTTATAACTGAGCCTTTCCCCATTTTCTGCAGTTCTCTTTTACCTCCAGTGTGCTATACAGAAGCAGCAAAGTAGAGTGATCTTTCCCCAGAAGAAAACTGCCATTTTACATATAAAGTAATAACTCTGGGAATGATGAAGTAGCCTTTGAAGGAATAATTTGTGCTGCATCAAAATTTCTTTTTGTTGCAGTCAGTCTTTCTGTCACAAGAAGAAGCTGGTTTAGCAGATCTGCTCCTTTAGCACTTTCATCTGTGGGATTTTTTTTTTTTCTGTATTTTGCCTTTTCTTCTGTTTTATCACCTGTTGGGAGAAACATCTTCCTATAAGAGCATCTGATTAACATTGCATGATATCTGGTGTTCTAGGCTGCTGTTTTGGTTTTTGTATTTGTTTTTTTTAACTACTTCACAGTCTTAATGTAATACATTTTAAGAATTAAGAACAGGCTTGGTGATACATCTCAGAAAGGTGTTATAAATAGTGAATTTGTTCCAAGTGAGAGGATTTCTAATTAAGCTCCAGCACAGGCAGTATGTTATCAGTGAAATGGAGGTTTAAAAAGTTACCGCTGTAAGATTTGCAGGTGAAGCAGAATGTGTCAGAGTGACAAATAGATTGAGATGGGCTCGGTGAGTCTTAGGGAGCAGAGCTGGAGTGAACCTTCAGAGGGCTTCTCATCAAGCCTGAAGATGGGGCGGTTATGCCTGAAATGATCATGATGTATTTCAGTGTAGCCAAACTTGAAGAGCTTAGTCTGTGTAGTTTATTATAGGGAAGGCTGAGAGTTGACTTTGTGAACAGAAAGCAGGATATTAAATCAATCACTGAAACCAGTTATCAAGTGAAATACTGAGATATCCATTTTTCAGGACTATTCATATCTTCTAAAATGTTATGTGCTAGTCAAGGGCAAGTGAACAGCTCAGTGGACGGATAGGGAGGTGAATTTGTATGCCCAGGGTTCGTCTGGATGTGATGCCATGTATTCTTCTCAGTTTTCATGGCATGATTCTCATCCAGACTTGGTTCTGTTGTGGTGGTGACTTGCACGATTCTTTATTTCATCCTATCTCAGCTGTGTTTATAACACCCTTTAGCTATTTTGGAATGAAATGCACCCTGTTATTGTAGGGTGGTGGTATTCATTTTCCATCTGTGACAACTTGATAGTGTAAAACCTGAGATGCGTTGGTGGCTTGTTTCAGCTCACTGTGGCTTAGATGAGTTATTTTGCACAGACCCCTGCTGGTGCTCCCTAGTAGGAAAAAGACTGTCTTAAAGTGAATGGATGCACAAAAATGCAGTTGGATGTTACAGCTGGACAGATATGCTCGCAGCTGAAGATAAAGGCATCTAGAGGTGAAGTTGTAAATACCCAGACTGTAGGTCTATGCTGTCCTGAGACTCAATCCTAGAGGTAGAAGTTGTGGCCTCACCTGGATCTCCCTAGTAGTCTTTCTTGGTGATGGTGACTTTCTTTATAGCCATTTGCTTTTCATTTAATTTTAATTTTGTATTTACTCTAGGATCAAGTGGATCACTTGCTGGCTTTGAAGATTAAAGCCTGCTCACTGAACTCCAAGCTTTCTGCCCAGGAAAAGAAGACCATCCTGGCTGACTTAGCAAGTGATAAGCCCGAAGTCAAGCTCCTGTACATCACCCCAGAGATGGCAGCCGCCTCTTCCTTTCAACCTACGCTAAACTCTCTGCTGTCCCGAAACCTTTTGTCCTACCTGGTAATCGATGAAGCACACTGCGTCTCCCAATGGGGACACGATTTCCGACCTGACTACCTACGGCTGGGCATCTTGCGCACTCGCATACCCAGTACACCATGTGTTGCCTTGACTGCCACTGCCACCAAGCAGGTCCAGGAGGACATTGTGTCAGCGCTTAAGCTAAAGCAGCCACTTTCCACATTTAAGACTCCTTGCTTCAGATCTAATTTGTTCTATGATGTGCAGTTCAAAGAGCTCTTGACTGATCCATATGCCAACTTGAAGGATTTCTGTCTGAAGGCACTTGAAGTGAAGAACACCACGGGGGTAAGTTTTACATTTGGGGAAGAAGGCTAAACTGAACAAAATCTACCTTAATGGTCACTGACCTTCCAGTGGTTGATATGGACCCGACAGGTCTGTGGCAGGGATGGAGGAGTCCCTGGAAAAGAAAATGCTGACATATATTTTTTAGTTCCTCTAAAGACGAACCTTTCAGAGGTGTCCTCAGAAAGGGGTTGGTCTAAAAAAAATGGATTAGGAATATGCAACTAGCATTTCTGTCTTGCTTTGTCATGTCCCAGGCAATCATTGTATGATTGATTGTATTCTACTCTTCCAGTGTGCTGAGGATGAACAGACGCATTTGAAGTGTTGTATTGAATTTCCAGCTCGAACGCTAATTCCTAAAATAACTCTCAGCAACTCAGTTATAGCCTCTGCACCTGAATTTATTTGTATGGCACAGGGAGACTGCTTCTTGCCTTGTGTCCACTGAGGGAGGACTGGAGGACCATGTTTGGTCAATGTTGGGCCTTGTAGGACTTGTAAGGAAACTGTCTTTATGTCTGACTTACTTCTGTGCTGCAACAGTATCTTTCAGTTGCTAGGGAATGGGCTTGTGAAGAGCTGAGGTTTAGGCACCCCTCCCATCTCTGCCATACTAATGACTGCAGCTTTGTTGATTGGCTTCAGACAGTGTCATGGACTTTTTCTCCCGTCTGCCCAGGTGTACTCTGGTTGTGGCATTGTGTACTGCAGGATGAGGGATGTGTGTGACCAGCTGGCTATTGAATTGAGC